CGGCGGGGCTGCCGGCAGGTGCCCGGGCCATCCGGCTGCCCTTTGTCAGCATTGTGGCCTCACACAATGAGGGGCTTCCTGCCTGGGGCCAGGGGATTGAGCAGCCCAACACAGGGTGTGGGGCCTGAGGACCTGGCCCCATGGCCGGTCCCAGCAAGGGCAGGTGAAGTCGGTGGGTCTGGGACGCAGTCTCCCACTTACAACCACCGCCCTCACTCGGCCCACGTGCAGTGACATCGCCGCCACGCCGAAGTGCTGCTTACGGTGCTGCCGCCTGGGCAGTGGGGGGGCGGCACAGTCCTCGGCCTCACACGCAGGGCTCCAATTCAGCCGTTCTGGGAACCGCAGGCCGGCGCTCGCGAGCCCTGCAGGTGTGGCGGGGCCTCGCACGGGGACTATGCAGAGCCTGCTCTAGGTTGGGAGGAGCGGCTAGAGACAGTCCCTAGAGCGCAGGGACTGCCCCAGGGCAGAGGACGGAGTGTCGTGAAGAAAGCACAGTCCTGAGTTCTGGGGGAGCCGGCCTGGCCCGTGTCCACTCCAGCTGGAAACGAAGCAAACCGGGTGGCCGTGTTCCGTGGGCACGGCCCCGCCTGCGCCGTGGGCGTGGGGGAGAGTGATGATGCTGAGAAGGTGTCTGCCCGGCCAGCGCAGCAGGGAGGGTGCCGTGAGCTCAGGCTGTCCCCTTCTCACTCCCACCTGCCAGGTGACCTGGTCTCCCGTGCCATGCACCACCTGCAGGGGCGCCGCCCCCTGTGTCCGGGCGCCAGCCCCGCCCGCCAGGCCCGCCAGCCGCCCCAGCCTGTCGCCTGGGCCCCCGACGCCCTCCACACGCTCTACTACTTCCTGCGCTGCCCCCAGATGGAGTCCCTGGAGAACCCCAACCTGGACCCCCCGAGGATGAGCCTCAACAACGAACGGTAGGACCTTCTAGGGCTGTGGGAGGGCACTTCCTAGTATGCATTGGCCGACCACTGGCCATTGGCAGACCAGGAAGCAAGGCGCCCCAGAGCCACCCGCTGCCCAGGTGCACCAAAGGCCAGTGCTGGTGGGGTGGGGCACGCCCTGGCTGCAGCGATGTGGCAGGGCATGGGCAGTGGCCTGTGGGCCGTGGCGGCAGGTCTGAGACCCCCCTTGTAGGCTCCTGGACGCGCAGTTGCCTCTCTGTAGAATGAGAGCGCCATGCCCACTTGCAGAGGCGGGCGTGAGGCCGAGCACGCCAGCTCGGAGGGCAGCTGGCCCTTGTCCTGTCGCCGTCACCTCTCTTGGTAGCACGTCATCACCGTCCTGGCAGCTGGTTGGGAACTCGGCCACATCCTGCCTGGGCGAGAAGGCCATCGTGGCCCTGGCAGCTCTTGGATCTCCGGAAGTCAGTGGCTGAGTGGTGCCAGGGCTCGGCCTGTGCGTCCCAGTCCTCCCCCAGCTGGCTGCAGGGCCACCAAGAGCAAGCGTGCAGGTGTGCACTGCACACGGGCACGCACAGGCACATGCAGTGCGCACATGGCCACGCCAGCCCCGGCAGGTGTCTTTGGGGTCAGCGGCAGAGGGCGCCTCTTGAACATCCTGCCCCCAAGGTCTGCTTGTCTGTTATCTGCCCAGAACACCACGTGGCTAGCACGGGCCCCCTGGGTGCCACCGCATGGCCAGTCAGGCCAGGTCAGTTCTTGGGCTCGGAAGCCGTGTGGAAGGTCCAGGGCTGGGAGGGGTCGCAGCGGGCGTAGCAGCCCTGACAGCGTGCTTTTCCATGCATCGGGGCCCAGGACGGGTCTGAGGCTCCGTGTCTCCCCCGCCCCCGTTCCTCACCAGCTCCTGCCCACGCCTGCCCCACCCAGTCTCGGGGTGCACAGATCAATACACGCGGGTCCCTGCTCCGTGCCCTTCAGCAGCCCTAGGAAGCTGCGGCACCCAGAGGACCAGCAGCCAGTGCCAGAACCTGGGCGT